TTCACATTAAGAGACTGATTCTTTTGACTGAGCAACTTATACGATCACTATCCCATTTATCCTAAAAAAATACTATCCAGCAGGCATACCAAAAACTACCGCACTGCAAACCATTTAGTAGCACTTGAAATGACCAGATAACCAGTGATTTGATGCCATGATTCATGTTACATTATCTTGCATACATATCTATTTCTAAATGGCACCAACAGTCATTCTCTGATGTCAATCGAAACACCAATATCAATTTTTCCAAACTAGGCAAAATTACCACCTACCATTAAGTGATTCTTCAACAGCTTTCTGTAAAATATTTAAAATACATAAAGCTTTCAAGTCTAGTTTGGAGGTCCAAAATTAAACAACTCTAATTGATATATACAATAAATAGTGATTCTATAAAAGAAATAAAAGAGGCAGCAAAACATTAGAAAGATTAGTGATAGGTTTGGTTATTTCCAGGCTATAAACGATGATGACATGTCTGTTTCAGAAGTTCTTCAGTGGCAATAGCTTCTCTTTACAATTTAGCAGTAATGCAGAAAACAAACACTAGAAAGAACAAGTAGCTGTATTCAGCAAGATTGCGTCTGCAATGACATCTGTGTAATACATTTCATTTAACTGGTAGCAAACTACAAATCACAGAAACGAACTGAAAAACCAAACCAATCTCTTTTCAAACATATCAAAACTTTAACAAAGATAGTACTGGCTATATTTTTGTCAAAATATTGAAGTACAAGAGCATTACTGCTTTAATGGTGGCAGCTCTTTTTCCTAAAGTATAGTTAAGGAAAGGGATGTGAGGACCTCATCAGGAATATACAATGCTTACTGTAATTGTAAAGTATCAACATGCACCCCTTTTCTTTCTATTTCAATTAATTTCAATAAGTTTATTTTTTTTTAAAAAAAGATGTCACTAAAATGGCCAAAACCCCTGGACACTAAAAGTCTTGTGAATGCTTTATTTAACCACATTCATTTTGGCCAGGCACTATTTAAAACTGGATTAAACTTTGTCTTTGTATATTGTGTGTGATTTTGGCTTAGGCACAAAGCATAGATCTCAGTGCCTAATTTCTATATGTGTATTTTTTTTTCAGCCTGAATCAGTCCACTGGACTGTTTGTTCATCTAGTCCAGTAAAGGTAGATATATATTTTCTACTATCCAGTCTAAGAATCAGAGAGGATGACTGGCCCAAAATAACTCTGTTGGTTTGTCTGGCTAAGGGAAGACTAGAACCTGAGTCTCCCCAATCTTAGTCTAGCACAGTGGTGGTGAACCTATAGCATGGGTGCCAGACGCGGCACTCAGAGCCCTCTCTGTGGGCACACACGCTATCGCCTAAGTCCTAGGCCTTCAGCTGGGTTTTATAAAACCTTTTTGCTTTAGGCCTCCGTCATTATGTACACACACACAAAAAAAGGTTCAATCAATCAGTCAATTTCAACTTCTCACAGGAAAAAAAAAGATCTTGCAAAGTTGGAATTGATTGACTGAACTTTTTAGTCCCACCCAGTCTGCTGTTACCACCGCAGCCACACCACCCAATGGGCCACACCCACCCAGCACCCGATGATGCATAAGTGGGTTTTGGGTTGCAATTTGGGCACTCGATCTCTAAAAGGTTTGCCATCACTGGTCTAGCACATTCACCACTGCACCACCCTGGCTCTCAGACAGATAGTAAGTTATATTAGTATATTGACAGACAAGACATGCACAGACACACATGCTTAACCACAGAGAGAAAAACGGAGTCTTTACCAGTTAAAGATTGTATTTAACTGTTTCTTGTTTTTTTATTATTGAATTATACAGATAATTTAAGAACTTTTCAGAAAAAGGGCACACAATAAAATAAGCTATAAATCAAGAAAATAATACAACTGGCTAGCCTAGACCAGGATGCCAACAAAACCTGTATTAAAAGGATTTGTATGACAGATTTTTTTTCTTGTATTGTTAGAAAACTAGTAACAATAGACTAGAAATTAAGTTTAGGAATTATTTCAAATTTAATGAATCTAAGCATAAAGATTTGGCTAATGCCATTGCAGACGTGATACCATGGTATGGTTAAAGCAAGCCAGAAGAGACGGATTCACAAATAGGACATGGACAGGTGTAAGAAATGTGTCACCCAATTTTTCCTCTTCTATTCTAAAGTTAATTTCTCCACTATGTCCAAGTGCAAAACCTGACATACCCACAGTAGTGCACTGTACATTACGCACCTGCTTTAAGGAAAAGGGCTAGAAAATTCATTTGCTGCCAGACTAATAAAGAAAGCAAGCCAAAGAGTGGTTGAAGTGTGATGACTGAATTGCAAGTAGTCCTGGACTTGCAACTGTAATGGAATTTGCCATTACATTTGTAAGTGTAAAGCTGTAAACCCATGTGACCAATCCAATTTTGCAATATTTTTTTTTTGCGGTGGTCTTAAAGCGGATTCTATTATCGCAAACCAACTGCCATAGTTGTTAAGCAAACACCACAGTTGTTAAGCAAACCAATGATTTGTTACAGGTTGGTTTTGGTGGAAACCAGAAGTAAATGCTGTTTGTCACACAAAACACAGTTTATATGACTGCAGGATGCTGCAACTGGCTAAAAATACAGGCTGTTTGTACAGTCAGTGATGGGATTTAGCTGGTTCACACTGGTTCAGGAGAACCGGTAGCTAAATTTACCTGAATTTGGAGAACCGGCTGGCTTCCAGAAGTCCAGTTTAGGCTTTGGAGGCCTAGAGGAGGCCTCCCAAGCCTAGAACGGCCCAACGGAAGTGCATGATGCCACTTCTGGAAAGTCCGTTCTAGGTATCGGAGGCCCAGGCCTGCATCAAATAAAAGAACCGGTTGTTCAGGTATTTGAATCCCACCACTGTGTACAGTGCCTGACGTGGTCACATATTCATGGGGAAGGGTGGCGGCCATCAGAACTTTGGAGTCATAAATATCCAAGGAAGTCCACTGTAACTTCAAATGATTATTAAGTGACCAATCATAAGTCGAGGACTACCTGTATTAAAAGGATTTGTATTACAGCTTATTTTTTCAGGTACTTTTGGGAAACTAGTAACAATAAACTCAAGTAGTACACTGAGTTACAGAAAAAGCCTAGATGTCAAACACTAACATCCTATCTGCATTTTATTAGACACAGACTTGCAACAATGTTCACAAGTTCAGCCAACTTCCTACTTTCCATGCATAACAAAGGAAAAGGAGTACAATAAAAGCAGCATAGATAAAAGACAGTAGAGATGGCATCAATAATCATCTCAGGCAGCAGGTACTCTCGTGAAATTTTGCATCGTAATTAATGAATTAATTAATTTCTATAGCCACCCATCTCAATGTCTCTGGATGGCTTACAATCCCAAATCTTGTGATTTCATGTGATCTCATTAAGAACCAAACAATGTGGTAATATTTCAGATGTATTTGTTTGTTTCCGGATGGCCAGTTTAGCACACCCTCTGAGAGCTCCTGGCTGTCCATGGATTTGCATCACCCATCACTATTGTGCAGTCATGCTTCTCCTATAAACCATCTTACTAGGAACAATTTTTCAATTGTTCTATAATAGAACAATAGCAGAATATACGCATCTAAAGTTGTAGTTCATAAAGATCTTATAGTACAGAGAAGCAAGAAGCAAGGCTTGGGAACACTGCAGACATGCACACAATTATTTTCTAAACACTTCATAATATGATACTGGCTTTCTTCAATCATCCAAGAATTTATAGGGGGTCACGTAAAACAATAATTTACATATAACATATTTGCATTGCCTGTACCAGTTATCCAAAGCTTAGCAAAATATGTATCTTAAAAATGCAAATACTGTATTCAAACACAGTAATTGATTTAATTTGTTAAATTTTATTTTAGTCAGGTGCACATGTAACTAAGCTTTTATTTTGTCCTACTTCTTTGTATTAGTTTAGCTACTTTTTTCATTGTGGCCACTGACATGCCACTTAAAACTGGCCTCCAGTTAGGCTGGGATGGAGTAAGGGATTACAGTATGCAACACTCTTAGAGAATATACATTCTATTCTTTAATAACTATTCTTTAATAACTAAAGTTATTCTTTAATAACTAAGCATGAACAAGTCAATTGCCATTTCAGGGTTCAAACCCTAAATTAATTAGCATGACTATATTTTTCCAACTTTTTGGATTTTGTTTTTTAAATAGTATTTCCTCCATAAATGATATTTTAGTTTTTTATAGATTTAATATAAAAAGAGAGAAGGGAAAAATGATAAAAGAGACTGTGTCATTATACAAAATGACTGTGTCATTATACAATCTCTTTTATCATTTTTCCCTTCTCTCTTTTTATATTAAATCTATAAAAAACTAAAATATCATTTATGGAGGAAATACTATTTAAAAAACAAAATCCAAAAAGTTGGAAAAATACAGAGGAAAAAAGGTGAAAGAAACCAACACAAATGAGTCCACTGGAGCTGCATAGCTTATAGATTCAAATAAAATTGAATGAATTAATGAATGAAAATGTGATTATATATTACATTCATAAAATAATTTGATATAATTTTAAATACCTCATTAAATCTTCACCATATGGAATAATATAATAATACCAATCACCCACGGACAGAGCATCCTGATTCCAGTGGATAACTGATCAAGCTGCAAGTCATGTTTGCATTTTGCAGTTTCAATATGAAACCCGGTAAGAAAAGATATTGCCAGAAAGACTTCTTACAGAGTAGAATGAAAAATGTGGAAACCCAAGTTTAATGAGTTCCAAGAGAACTGATACTGACTTGATGGCACATAATCAATAAAAATCTTTGAAGAAAGTATAGATAGCCAGTTGGTGACAACACACATTGCCATGTTTTTTGTGGTTTTTGCTTGCTACCAACTTGCAATTATGAAAGCTCAGCATCTCATTACAAATTCCCTGAGCCATGTAGACACCCCAAATACATTAATGGTAAGCTTACCCTTGGAGGGTGATGATCTTTCAGGTTGGAACCTAGGTTAAAAATATAATACACATTTTCTGATTAGATAACTAAAGCACAAATATCTAATCACTTTGCATGGGTGATTTCATCAGAATTTAAACCTACTGTTTCATTAATTATTTTTAAATGAGGGTTTATAATTTCCATTAGTTCAGCAATTTGTAACAAAACAACAGGATATAAATATTTTTAAACCAACCATGACTACATTCCAGCTGGCACTACATATAAGGGCAATAACTCTCTACATCAAAGCTGGCTGAAACTATTTATTATTTAATGCAGTTTTAGATGGCTTTATTTTGTTATTTCAAAGCAGCCTTTTATCAGCACCATCCTACACTAAACTCTTGCTGTTTAAATCAAGATACAATAATGGGACATCAAAATTAATTCTACTGTAGAACAAAGGGCCACCTAAAGTGAAACTCTGGGAATTTGGAAAGAATTTGTTTGCAAGCCATCAATTTGAGTTCTCTGAAGCCCCTTTAAACTCTGCTACTCAAATTCAAAAGCAAAATGTCAATTTTATTGGATTTTTATTACATTTAGTTTAAACTGTTTTAAACTAAAATAGAGTTTATCTATTTATTGGACTTCTATGCTGCCAATCTCAATACTATCGTGACTCTATTATATTTATTACAATATAATAAAAAATAAAAGTGCAAAAAGCAATTTAAAAATAATAAAAATTAAAATTAAAACCAAAACTATACATAGCCTTGGGGAAAGTATCTTCTCTATCCTATCGGGCACTCCCAATGCAGAGGGCCCCTATACGGCCACAGGTCAAGGAGCAGAGCCAAATTTTTAGGCTCTTCTGGAAGGCCAGGCATATGGGGGCGGATCTCATCTTTGACAGGGGAATATTCCAGAGGCCAGTTATATCATGGGTGATATTATGGCTAGAGTTATTTCATGAGTGAGCAACCTTGCCCTACATCTCATTTTAAGGCTCCAGAGTACCTATGGATTGCACTATAGAAATTTATTGATAACTCTGCTAACATTCTTTGACATAATTTTTTCATCTTGCCCCAGAAAAACTATAAAACAGGTTTTGTATCTTAAGCTATCCAACCTTGCACACTGAATATGGTCTCCTTCCAGAAAGAAACATTTGGTTTTCTTTTATTGTTCTTCTGGTTTAATACTAGTATTTTGAATACAACACTGCCCTTCTGGTCTGGTCACTATCCTATTCCCTCTAGCCTTAGGAGGCCAAAAATGGGGGAAACTGATCATCACTGCAATAGAGAATAAATACTAAGCTAGACAGATCAAGTGGTTTGAATAAAAATAAAGCAAGTTGTAGTACTTCTGTCTGCTAACTGAATGCACAAAGGTATTATAATTATAATAAAGTTCCTAATGGGAATGCATTGTAGGGCTACCATTAAACCATTATAGTGCACTTCTTTCACTTTGTACTATAATAGAAATAAAATTAGGTACCTGATAAACCTTTGGAAGATTGTAGCAAACAAACCAATCATATATGATGAGATATGCCCTTCACTGAAAAACATGTGTAACAACGCAATGCACTAATAAATTAATAAAAAACATATACTAAAAAATAACTCTAAATGTGACACTTGAGTAGATAATTCTGGACTCAAGTACTTCTCTATATTTGTTATAACTCAGGATTAAACAGCCACTATTGAGTAGTGCTTGTTTGACTTTTACTTGTTTAAATAGTCACTGTCGTGCCTTTGCTTATATTTCTACCTAGCATGATTAGTTCTCTATCCATGCAGCAGTGAGGATTTATGCATAAAGAAAATAATCATAGTCTGAAGTAACTATTGAGAGTGAAAGCTCCAGTTGCAGCATACATATTCTGAACATTTTCTATGGGCACAAATTTAAATATTCTATGGACATAAACAGAATGGTTGAATTCATACACTAATCCAATAATTTAAATATGGTTTGTTCGACAAGCCATAGTGCCCAGTATTCACAAAATACTATGAAATGATGTCATCACATGACAAAACATAAGTTACAGTAATAGCACATTATGCTTAGCACTGTATCTGAATAAATTAAAAAGAGTAATTCTGTGCAAAGTAAAGAAAGAGTTTATGGCATTGTATGCAATGATAATACAGCAGTCATCTTTAATTTTTTAAGATACTGAATGTTAGACCATTGGATAAATGTCCACAATCAACTGATCATCTGCACGCCTCTTAATGATGTTGAACTCTCCTTTAATTTTGGCTGATTTTTATTAATTAATGTCATAAACTAATACCATAAATATCATAATTTTTACTCTTTCACTCTAATCTATTAAAAAGTTTCCTAATTTTCTCCTAATTGCTTGAGCTTCAAATATTCAAAAGTATGGCATTTTATGTATTAATAAAAATAAGTAATAAAATGCAAATAAAATGTTCCTGATCAAGGGAATATTAAAGCATATTCCAGTTGCGGATTGTATGAAACATATCATACAACTATTAATTCAACTAAAGGTCTTAAGTCCTGTTGTGATGTTGTTATTGAGTCTATTACCAACCACACAGTGCTATACTAGATTTCCCAATAACAAAGGCTACTTTTTCTAATTGTATGTTCATTAAACAATATTTTTTGTCAGAAGAAACTTGGCTAAATAGTAGAACAGCATATATTGTGATTCATTCAGATATTTATATGCCTAAGGATAGATATATAATTATTTAAACTAAGTGGGTTAAAAAAAACATGCCCCATGTGACCCCAGATGATTGACTGGATTTAATTAAAATATATGTGAATCACATACAGGAAGAAAAAAGTATGTTCTGTAGACACTGATTAAAAACAATAACCTTGCAATGTTAACATATGACTGACATGCCATAATAGGGAAGGATACACATTCTGTTAACGTTCTTCATTCACAAACAATGCTATGATTCAAATATATTTTTTTTAAAATTGATTGACCAATTATCTCTTTAAAAAAACTATCCTTAAGTTACAATATATGTATCATATACTGTAACTTAAGTTGAATATATATATAAAATATATTTAAATATACTTTAAGTAGCAACAGGGCTTTCACACAGATTCAACACTGAGTTGTGCTTGTTCCTGATTATGCAATCACTCACATCACCTTATAAATGGGTTACTGCAGTGTACTCCACATCAGGCTTTCTGTACAGCCCACACAGAAGCTACAGCTGGTGCAGAATGCAAGGACATCCACAGTGATGAGCATGCTATATTATGCTCATGTGATGCCAGTATTCAAGTGCAATTCCAGGTGACAGTTATTATATAAAAAGTCTATTATGACATACAGCCTGGATATTGATGTCTATGGAGATTCTCAGTCATCCAGGTCATAGTTGTCCCAAAGATGCTTTTCCATGAGGCAACTGGACTTTCTTGTTTCTCCTTTGAAAATGTTTTGCTTCTCATCCAAGAAGCTTCTTGATTTGAAAGAGGGGTCAAAGAGGTCATTTACGTCAAAACTGAACAGTCCTCTCTCAACAGAGGGGGAGGGATACGACATCTCCAGTCTACAACACAATCCTTTCAGCAGTTCAGTTCCAAGAAAGCTCCACACCCATTTGCACTATTCAGGTGATCCTGAAGACACAGATAAACCTCCAAGTGGCCTCAACGGCTCTCTAAAAGAATGCAAATGACCAGTTGTCTGCAAAGAATATAAATCCTTCCATTCTCCACCATCTACTCCAAACTGAAGAAGCTTCTTGGATAGAAGCAAAACGTCTTCAAAGGAAAAACAAGAAAGTCCAGTTGCCTCGTGGAAAAACATCTTTGGGGCGACCTGGATATTTATGCACTTCCTATACCTGATATCTGTTTCTGCCCAATCAGCATGACTGGGCAGTGGGTTGTCTTCAATGAAACAATGTCATCTACAATATTGGAACCTAAGAAGTGTGTTCCTCTCTAATAACCCCTGCCTTCTGGAACAACATTCTATCAGACAGCTATACAGCTGCCACATTGATGACATTCAGAAAATCTCTGAAAACTTTACTATGCATCCAGCTCTTGGGGTACGGTAGTAACTGAGCTGGATAATGTGCCGTACATAGTTTGCCTTCTGAATGCTTATGTTACTTTTTTTTTTCTTTCATAATTCATAATTTATTTATTTTTTTAAACAGAATCATCTGGGGTCAAACAGTCTTTGTATGAAATAAATGAGTAAACATTTTCTTCAGAAATTACTTACCAATAATAATAATGTAAATTAAGCCAATTGCTCCTACAGCACCAATAATTGCTAAGCCTGCAATCAGAACAGATCCATGTTTTGGCTGGCATGCTGTTGAGAAAAAGAGGTGGGCATTTAGATTAGCAGTGAAAGATTATGAAAAGGGGGGCTCTGAACAATGTTGTATAGATGTTTGAGTGCTCATATACCTTACATTTTTCGGACATGATAGGAGATCATGTAAGGACATCTTCAAATTATATATATAAATTAGATTTGATTTTTTCATGGCTTTACTATATAAAAGTTTGGACTAACAGAATTTTATTTATTTTTTTTATGACAGAATAGTTTGTGCATAAATCTGCGTAATCTATATAGAGAAGGTTGTATCAGTTAAAACAGTTACATAACAATTAAACATTTCCAAGTGTAAGAAGGAACCCACAGCCCAGAAGCCTGACAGGCATATCTGGAATTTTAAGGGAACTCAAACTCTTACAAATAATATGCCATGAAGGAAGCCTGACATGCATGACAAAATGTCTGTCATGGTAATATATCTGTTCTCACAAACACCGATTCATCAGAGAGCAGATACAGCAGTCCACAATACTGAACAAAACCGTTAAGCTCAAAAAATGATACTATTTAAATTGTATCAAAATGCTTCACGGTTCATATTATATAGGATTTCCATATCTAGGCTTCAAAAAAGTGCAATAATCACTAGATGGCAGCAAAGAGAGTTTTATCGATTATTTGGCATTTTACAGTTCTGATATGGGAGCCCCATATTAATGCAGTATCTTTATTTGTAGCTTTATTTGTTATATTTGTATCCCACCTGTCATACAAACGCTCAGGATGGGAAATATGAAAGCAATGCAAAAGATATAAAATACCATATTTGTTCAAAAGAAACAAATCACAAAAGGTAATATTTTTTTCCTCTTTGGCAGCTCCTTAAAACAGCCGTCTTTTCCCAGAGTTGAGTATCTGCTATAAACAGCTGCTGCAGCAGCAGCACCCTGGGAAAATCCATGCTTGGCTTTAGGAGATGTCCACAGATGCTTACATGCAGGCCACTGTGCCAAGTGCCTTTTCCCTCTTGAAACTGAAGCCATGCACAACCATAGCACATAGCAACTAGAAGGAAGGGAGGAAAGGAGTGAAGGATGGACCACAGAGAAATGGGTTAAGAAGATAGGAAGGAAAGCAAAAGGAGGGAATAAAATGAATAAACAGAAGGTAAGGGGGGGGAAAGCAAGGGAAAGAAAGGAAAAAACCAGACAGCATTACAGAGTCAAGCCCAAATTAAGCTACAGCTAACCTAATCTTCAAAGGTATTCATTCTTTTCAGCAGTGATGCTTGCAGTACTTTGGACTTTTGGTTTATTACCTTCTTTGCAAGACCATATAAGATGATGCTGAGCTGCAAGGGCCAGCATTCTTTCCCATGCTAACTAGGACCCTGGAAGTCCAGAAGCATTTGATATGGGTTGATAATATCTGAAAAGTATTGAATTTGATATAGACATATAGCTATGCTTTCTTGTAATTTTGTTTTAGTTTGTGACAGCCACTGTATAAAAGTTAAATAACTTCTTTAGAACCAAGCTGTAACACATATTACTTTGATAAAGTACATAGTTTACCTGTCACGCACAAAGCAAATCCAGCCACAGCAATTACATATCCAAGTGCTTTCAGAGCTAGCAAAATAACTGCAAAAAGTGGTTGCTTCTCAAAAACTAGGGAAAGAACAATAATGTTACTGAGAAAAGAACATATTCAGAAACAAATGAGAAACAGAACAAGTCAGGAACTTTCAAAAAATAATTTAAAATTTGTACAAATATGTATCTGGCATGGGGTATGAAGCAGCTAACGATATCAGGAAGGATAAATGGTATAATCCCAGAGTAACTTGTTTTATGTGAAATTCTCAATTATTTTTTCTTGTGTTCAATTGTGCCAGATTGTCAAAGACTGCCCATGAGTTTTCTTGGCAAGGTTTTTCAGAAGTAGCTTCCTATTGCCTCCTTCTAAGAGCTGAAAGAAAGCGATTTGTCCAAGATCCCCCAGGTAATTTTGTGCCAAAGGCAGGACTACAACTCCCGGTCTCCTGGTTTCTATCCTGATGCAATCACTACACCAAAGAGGCTGACACAACTCTCAGTATAATGTAGTAGAACAGAATTTAGATACTAAAGACCAACAAACAGTGCTGGCTGGCACAAGAGTATATGGAACCCCTAGGCCACACTGATGTATGGCTCCATCTTTTACTGATGAAAATTTCCATATTTAGAATGATTCATATTGTGGTGCCTTCTAAGCTTTGGTGCTCTAAGCTAGTGCCTACTTGGCCTTAGTCTAATGCCAACCCTGACAAGTACAGCCCATAAACCAGCCCATCAGTTAGTGTGCACCTACTTATAAACAAAATAAAGTTTCATACGTATATCCCTAGTAGGTATTAGCTCAAATTCTTTTCACAATAAAAGATCATCTCTTCACTTCAAGAAAAATGATACTTTTGATACATCAAAGGAATCTCTAAGTGATGTTTTGATATATCAACGAAAACAAAAAAATCCCCTTGGCAATGTCACAATTTGGTACTCTGGTGCCAATTCATAATTCTGAATCTTTTGCTTCTTCTCCCCAAATGTTGTCTAAAATTCAATGAGAATACTGTTATTCAGTGCCAATATACAATTTTTACTAATTTTATGATTTCCCCCCCTTCTGCATTCCCCCTACACCTTCAGAATTACATTTAATTTAGTCTCTAAAAAGAAATACAGCGTCAAGTAAATGAGAAGATTCTCACCTGATGTGAACAGGAAGTATAAAAGAGGCACTACAATGATTACAGGGATGACAATGATGCCAATACCAGCTTTAACCGATGCTATATATCCACCTGGTTGAAGTCAATTAAAAAAAAATCAATTCAGTCTTTACTGTCAAGCTATTATATAAGAATACCATTGATATTAAGAATAACTGCAATGGGAATCACAATATAAATAGATCGTCAAGTTTAAGTCAAAGGATATTTCTACTTTTTTCAAGTTGACTTTTTTATTTTATTCCAATACAAATGGGCTGGAGGACCTGGGATTTCCAGTTATTGTAGAATCACCATCATTCCCCACCACCAGCCATACTGGCTAGGAATAAAATTGCTACATGTGAAGAAAAAGGTTAGCCCTTAAGCTCTAAAATTTGTAACTAATAAAACTGCAGTAGGAAAGCAAGAAAAGGAACACATTTGATATATACCTTCATCAACCCATATTTAATCCATATAATTTTTGATATGTCACTAATTATTAGTTCTTAGCTAGAAAGCAATATTAACATTGGAAGAGAACATGTAAAATAGCTTATTATAAGAATTTCACTCTTGGAAATAATTGTGATGATTGTATTCTAAAATTAGCAGAAAATTATGAAGGTGACCTATTTAAGTGATTCCTGAGGGAAGAACAGCACAAGAGAAATACTATTCTCCTGTTAAATGTTTAACCAATAGTAAGGGGAATTTATCCTAACAATACAGGATGAAAATACTAATACAAATATTTTTAAATGACAAGAATTAATAGTGGAAATGCTTCATCTATATAAATTATTTTATATTTTAATGAAGGATTTCTACTCTTTCTGGTCTCCATTTTGTCTGTTTGTGACTGCAAATCAGCTGAACAAACAACAATGCATTTAAGATTCCTTTTATTTGATATTTGTGGTGATTTATTAAGAACAAGAAAACTAAAAATTATATTTTGTATAATAAAGTAAAAATCAGCAAGGAGAGTGAGAGGGAACCATGACCAATTATTTCATGACCTCAGAGATATCTGTGTTTTATAATATTTCTAATAAATAAATATTTAATATGTAGCAGGAATAATATATACCAAGGTTCTGTATTCAAAAGATCTGTTGGACCTATAAAGAACCATTATAATAGTACAAATAAAAGTAGTAATTTAATCAGGGTTAGGAATAATATCTTTAATTCACTCAGTGACATTTTGAATCATTCATACATAATATAATTTGTCTATTTTTATGTAAAAACTGTTATCAGTCACATACTGGCTATTATAAAATTCAGTCTTGTTGTACATAGCTTAAGGCCCAATTTAGCTTGATGGAGTACATTTATTTATTAAAATTCTTACCGTGGGCAAAAAGAATGGTACCAGTCACAGCAAAAATTGTTATTAATAGTCCTGTAAAACTTAAGCCAATTTTCTTTTCAAATTCCATGTCAAACTTTATAGCTAAAAGAAAAATAAAAGATGAAAACAACAATTAGAGACTAAATGCTTAAACACATGGTTTTCAAATTATGCCTCTGAACAGCATCAACTGATTATTGCTGTGTGTGTGTGTGTGTGTGTGTGTGTGTGTGAGAGAGAGAGAGAGAGAGAGAGAGAGAGAGAGAGAGATATTTGGGGTAGCATTAATTATAAAACACAATAATGTTTTAGAAATGAACCAATACATTGGCTTTGTTAAGATTGCACTCCCGTATTATTTATTTATTTAGGCCCACTGCTCCTACAGTTTTATAAACCATAGAAAAAAAACATAAAAACTCACACAGAAATCAATATATATATATTCTATTGATATTCCTCTGGGGAATGATTTTAATCAAGTACAGAATATATTTTTGCACAATATACTTTTATTTAAAAATTAACCCAATTTAGAAATTTAGCTAATCCGAGCGTGGGGGGAGGGGCATTTCTTTTCCTAGAGATGCTCTAAAAGCTAGACAGCCATCTGATGGGACTGCTGTGCTTCGGGCTCAATGGCGTACATGGTCTCTTACAACTTTATTTTACATCTGTGTTGCAGAATTCTGAAAAGCATGGATGTAAATGTAATTCAAGTCACACATAGGTTTGGGAGGTGCAAATTGTATATCTCTAGTTTAAAAAAATTCAGAATGAATTTTGTAAGGCAAAATTCACTTACACTGTCTGAGATCTAATCTTCAAAGATTACACTTAAGGAAGATTAACAAGAAAATAATTAAGGCAATCACCTCAAAGGAAAGGTAGACAAAGGTGGGGGGGGAGACCCAGACAACAAACTTGTGCAATGCTTAAGCATGTCTGCTCTTTGGAAGAATTTCCTCCCCCCTCCCCTAAAAAAAAGAAAATTCTGTATGATTCCAATCTTGCTGTCTTTTAGGCGAGTACTTAAACCTTCCTGAGTAGGTTCTGCTGTTGTTTCATATGGAGTCAATAAATACAATGCAAGACCTCACTGTGCAAAAACCATATTTTTCAGAGAGAGGGAATACAACTACAGGAACAAGAAATGCATCACAGGAACAATAGAGATGAATCATAGAGTAGCAATATGACAAAGGAAATAAATACAACAGAGATGAATGATAGAGCTACATATAAGGTAAACATAACACCCATAAGATCTTCTCCTTCTCATGTTAACCAAACATTGAAATTTTGGATGAGAACTAATAACAACACTTCCTATAGGTTGAGTCTGTTAGGTGGTTGCGAATGTCTGCCACTACGGGTGAAGACTGGCCCTCTTTACACTAAGAGTTTCTCCGACCTTACTGAGGTTGCTGGGATCTTCTCGCCACTTACTGGGACATTCTGCCTTTGACTGCTGTCAGGTATACCGGCTTGCTCATGGCTATAATTAGCATTGGTCTGTGGCATCAGTACTGTGCATTCCCAATTGCCAGTGGCTAAGTGTGGCCCAGTAATACCAGGTGACTCGGACTGTCCACAGGATATGGAGAATCAGGCTGCGAATCAGGCTGCTCAGCCACACATGGATCTACACAATTGCGACAATAGAGAGTTTCATCAATACCCACTAGATAGGAGCGTGACAGCAGTCAAAGGCAGAACATCCCAGTAAGTGGTGAAAAGAGGCCAACAACCTCAGAGAAACTCTTAGTACAAAGAGGGCCAGTCTTCACCCATACTGGCAGACATTCGCAACCACTCAACAGACTCAGCATGCTGGCTGACTCAGGAATTCTGGGAATTGAAGTCCACGAGTCATAAAAGAGCCAAGGTTGCCTACCCCTGGCCTAGCCAATACCTAGTTTATATGATGATTTCAGTTGGAAATGCTAAGCCTTGGATAATAAGTGGGGAAACTAGATATATTTATTTATTTTATTGTTTAATCAATAACTAGGGCTGCCTACTTGGCTCAGGAATTCTGGGAGTTGAAGTCCACGAGTCATAAAAGAGCCAAAGTTGCTTACCCCTGAGCTAGGCAGTCATGGAAAAATGTAAAACTAACAAAATACAATCAAAAGCTGATTATCTTAAGACGATAGAAAAATCATGGAAAATAGAAAGCTCTTGACCCAGCATTGAATAATGCTCATGCTAATGGAACCTCTCTGGAGTGGGAGTTCGACAAGTGTGGTCTCAAAAAAATTCTAGGTTCTATAGCTGTTAGAATTACATAAGATTCCAATATCACTGTACTTGTCATTAAATTGTACCCCTCTTGCCTAAATGCAGACACTAACATCCTCTTCCTTTTTTCATTCCCTTCCATCAGTGATGGCAGCAATAGCTAGGTAAAGTCTATCTGCTAAGTAACACTTGCTTCTTATAATCCAGCAAGCTGCAGTATTTCAAACTGAAAGCTTGAAATATTTCAAAGTATTTCTTTGAAAGAAAGACATGAAGAGCCAAGATAGGCATCAAGCTGCTAAGTAAGTTAAACTAAAAAAAAATAAAATAAACAAATAATAGGAATTAACAATTGGTTGAGAAATTAATGAAAATCTGTCAGGAAAAATAATGATTTTGTTTATTGTTTGTAGGGAATGATAGCAATTGCTATAATCATAAGGAGCAGCCATGACTAATGATATAATAAAATCATAAAAATATATAATGATCAGTTTATAATTGTTATGAATAATAATAATATATCTACAGACCCACCCATGATCTATACTGTGACTGAAACAAACAACTGGAAAAATTGTAACTCTTCAAGTAGTTTATAACTCTAGTATTTTAAGTAGTTTACAAGCCATTGAGCTATTCCATTAAAGCAGTGGTTCTCAACCTGTGGGTCGGGACCCCATTTGGGGTCAAACGACCATTTCACAGGAGTCGCCAAACAAGGCTGTCCACCATTTTTCCCCCTTTTCTTTGGCCACGCCCCTGGCACCTGGTGATGTATAAGTGGTTGGGGGTCACCACAACATGGGGAACTGTATTATGGGGTCGCGGCATTAGAAAGGTTAACAACCACTGCATTACAGGCTGGAGCTCAGATCCAGATTGGGAGAAAGGGGGTGTCTCCTCCCATCTTCATCCAGTCCAAGTTGCAGATCCTGGGAGATAATAGAAACAAGTCCATTGGTTTGAACTGGGATTTGGATTTTCCGCCTAAAATCCTTGGGAGAATAGAACCACTACAATAAAACTGCCAAAGATACAAAGGCATTGGTGTTTTAATTTTTTAACTTTTTTAAAAAACATTTTTAATTGTTTTGCTCAGTTGGATAGCTTTATCTTTACTTCCTTTACCTGTCTTTCTGTTTAATTGCCTGATCTGTTTATTGGTTCAAGATTTCTAGATCTGAATATATTACAATACATAATAAAGTTCCTCTGAATGAATCCACAGTGGAGCTTGCTTCATCACTGGTATTTACTTAATTTCCTATAAACTGCTCCTGCTATGTGAGTCACTTGCTCTTCTTAGGCAAGTCTGGACTTTTTATGTTGCCATGGTTATGATTACAAGGACAAAGTTTCCCTCAAATAAAGGCAGCTCAAGTTACAAGATGTCAATATTGTAAAATTTACTTTCAAGTAAATTTAGTTGGAATTGTTATATTAATAAACACCTCAGACTAAGTTACACTGGTTTGAATGAAACGTTGCATAAGGCATACATAGCACAGGTTAATTTAAAATATTTACTTTGTAAAATACAAGATTTGTATCACTGATTTAAACAAAAATTTTAATTTGAAAGAAAGATATAGGCAGATCAATATGCCACTATATGAAATTAATGATTTTTTTGCAATGTACTTCAAATGATTAAACATGTTTTTTCCTATATTTTATACTCCAAATTAGAGCTAACTAGAGATTTTCCCAATAGACATGCAACTCTGCCTTTTACCAGCAAAAGCTAGGCTTTTTGAATGAACTATTCCAACTAGTGGTTGGTAAGGTTATGTACCTTTCTAAAAAGAGGATTTGGAATTACTGAACACTATTGCCAACCATTCTGACTTTTGCCAGAGGCTCTTTTAACAAACTGGCAGATACATTTCTATTCTAGATACCACAGTCTTAGATATTGCATGAACCAGGAGACTCAGCATGATTTTTGATATGCAGGAGAAAATACACCTTATAAATCAATATTATCATTGTAGCTGTTGCACAAGACATAAAAAAAACAGCATGGCTTTTGATATATAGAAAGCAATCAGTTCTAAAGAACAACTTTTAACAAATGAAAAGCTACTAATAATTTCTTTCTACAACCTATTCTTTAGATGTTTTTCTTGCCTTTATACATTCTTATAAATAACTCAAGATGGCAAACATACTCTTTCCTTTTCCTATTTTCCCCACAACAGCTCAGTGAGGTGAGTTGAACTGAGAGAGAGTGACTGACTCAAAGTCATGTTTTATGTCTATGGCAAATTGGAACTCACTGCCTCTTGGTTTCTAGCCTGGCGTCTTAATTACTGGGACTGGCTTTTATTGAAAGAAATATTTGAAAATGTTCAATTTTGTTTTGATTTTATTTACATAATTAGTGTGCCATGAAGTAAGGTCAGTAGGTATTGAGTTAGCATGTTCAAGAAAGATTATACCACACATATGTAAGTCAAATATAAAGCAATTAAGATATTATATAGTTAACATCTTAATTAATAAATTTAACAATAAATATTATAGCAAAATAATTTGCTACTGCCTTGGATATGAAGATCTATGACTTATATTTTAAATTTCTTTAATGTCTACAAATACTATTTGACTGCATTAGTATATTAAGATATTTTAAATGATAAAGGAACGTTATAAATCGGTAGCTTCTTCAAGAGCTCTACTTATGAACTAAAAGCAAAGAGTAACTTCTTATTTTCTGCCTTTTGGTTTTATGTTTTATAATATTCTTAACATACTAAATTATACCACTTTGTATTCCTAGTACAGTACAGTATATCTAATGTAGTACAAATAAAATAAGTAAAATAGCATAAGGAAATTTATTTATTATTTAATTTTTGTGCTGCCCATCTCACCACAAAGTTTACAAATATTTCTACATAAATTGGAGAAGAATATTACTTAATAAATAAAATAAAAACTTGTTTCTCATTTATGCTATCAATTCTCTTAAACAAAGCATTTCATCAATGACTGAGAGATCCCTCCCTGATATGATGTGAAGATGGGATTATATGATGTGATATTGGTTATATTTATTCTGTTTTAATGGGTTTTCTTATGAACCACCTAGAATTAGCTTGTATTAAGACAGATAGCTTAATAAATAAATATACAACCATTTAGCTTGTTTTCACCATCAAATATATATATCTTATGATACAAAAATAGTGAAACACATTAATCTGATTTTATATTCACCAAAAAAATCTGAAGTCAATCTGAGGACCCAGATTGTTGGGGGCAATGTAAAATATATATACATTGCTTACTGGTGTACACCGCTTAGAGAGTGCTTGCACTTAAAGCGGTATATAAGTCTCATAAATAAATAAATAAATAAAGTCCCAATGAAAATCCCCAGGAAAATCTTCAGACCATTTAACTCTAAATGAACAGCTCTCCTTCAGGCAAAACCCCTACCAATTCAAAATAATTATGATGGCTTTATGGCCATTATTGACTGGCTAAACTCTATTTCTTTCCCACAGACATATATTAATATAGTAATTACTCTACTTAAACTGGAGGGAAATATATAGTAAATAAAGCTAAATCCATGTTTGGATGATATCGTTTTATAAGCATATCATGAAAATATAAACTAAATGGCATAGTTAAAAACCTTGTGGAATGGATTTTATCCAGTATCAGAATTGTTTAAAAAAAAAACTAACAATAGTCTCCTCACACTATGTTTTGGAAGCTACCATATAGGAAAGGAATCAATATGAAACAATTTCTCCAGTTCCCAATCTAAAGAAACAAGTCTTATCATCAAAGCCACTAAGATATAAAGCCAAAGCAAGAGAATTACTAAAGTAATAATTGAAGTAGTACCTCACCAAAGTCCTAGCATACAGCTTAGTTTCATCCACGAATGCTTGGAAATGTATATGATTTAAAACACTTTTTAGCATCTAAGTAAGTTATATTTGCACCAGGTAATCTCTGTTTCCAGAGAAACATTAGCTATTTATTATGTCTTCTTGCTCACACCCTTTTGTATGTTATTAGAAGCCAGAAAATTCAGAATTGTACAACAACAGATACATCAAAAAGGATGGATTGCAAACTTGGAATAATATTGTATAAAGAAAATGGATTTGCCCTGGCATGATTTGTTTGCAGCAGACACATACTGGTTCCTGCTCATTGTACCATATCTATCAATGTTCACAAACATATTGCTTTTATATTTTTAATATAAAACTTAATTACAGGAATAATGACATTAAAAAGAAGGACATTTTTTACAGAATGATAGTTGTCTGTATTCAATTTGTGTCACTCTATGGCCAAATGCCGAACACCCACAGGCAAGCATAAACTTTTTTTTCAGTGCAGACTATTATAGAAGTTATTAATAAATACTCATAGATGTCACAAATGTAAGGGTATCAGATTTTAATTAATTACAGTGTCACCTTTTATTCTGTTATTTCGGCAGTCAGGAAAACAATAGTAAGCAGTTACATAAACTACTCAAAATGAAGCTTACACAATTTTTAATCATGTAAAGCAGAAACTTCTTTTGCATTATTACACAGAGACACACAGACACATAGTAGTATTAATAAAGGAATTTAGTACTTACCTACAGTAATGAACTGGCACCAGTATAAAATAACAATCAATATTATGATGGAAATGATAGAGAACCGCTCCACAGGCTGAAACCAAGGTACTATAAACAAAACAAATACAGTACAACTTCAGAAATGAGTGCACATTTATAACATATTTCATATATTTCTGTGCTGACCTTTTGGACATTTCAGCAGAGAAAGTCAAATTATTTACAATACAAATTGTTCTAGGTTTCCATATTTAAAAGCATAGCAGGATTGCATGTTTCTTCATATTTTCAATAACTTCTGTTAGCAGATTCTCCATCTTAACTAACAATGCCTTATATTCAAGGGGGCAAAGGTTTCTTCAGATCAATCCATCCTGAGATGTGCCACTCCTCTACTGGTGTCTGCCCATCCACGGCACATAATCTAATAAACATACTTAATCTAAGAAACTTGTGTTTATTATTTCAGGTACAACTTTTACTGATTTTTAGCATAATGCAAGCAAGAGCAGTTACTAAAATACTGAAGGACTGGCAGCACTTAACGATACCTATGACATCTGCAAACGGCATTTTAAAAATATACTCAAAATAGGTCACAACAAAACAAAGATGAGCGGTACACAAAGCAAAGTGGACCTTTGTCCTACCATGCAATCTATTGCAGACAAAAGCAAATCTTAAGGAAACAACTCAAGTTATCATTTCTATTGGCTTTAGTTCAAACCCTGGAAAGAAACTCAGTCTTTCAGTTGTGTTTCAAATTATCATCCTAGCACTATCATCCTGAAGTTTCTGGGAAGTCTGTCCCCAACATTCCTGCACATTTTTATTTCCTTCACCTTCCTGCACAGTTGCAGACTTTTCTTCTGAGAATTAGTATTCTATATTCTATCAATTGCAACTTTTACATCACAGAACTTTTGAAATTTTTCACTTGTGACCTTAAACTGTAACTGTAGTCTTTCGCTGTGGCACTAAAGAACACTTTCAATAAATACAATAGGATGTAAATGTAAAATACCAGCCATTGAAGACACTGGAAACATTCTTTTTGACTACAAACTGTGGTCTGCAGAAAGGGCTGCCTTCTTAGATTCTTATTTAAAATCTAAAAATTATTGAGGTACCAAAGAGTATTACTTTTTTCAGCGAGTAAACTTGCATAGCACTAGTAAGACTGCAGTCTTTATTTCAAAGACTGTAGAGGTGAAACTTATTCTGAACATGTCCTATTTTTTATCTATTTGTATATTAGTTTTATATATCTGATATGGTCAAATGACTTAATCAATAAAGATTCCAATTCCATTCCACTCTGCAATTTTAATAAGGGAAGGAAAAAAGAACATCTTTTCCACATAGTGCGATGTCCTTTCACAGAACATAGCAGTGCCCAAGCTAAATCTACTGTGTTGCCCAAATGCTAGCAAAGTAAGCCTTACCAATTCTCTGCTGGCACAGGGATCAGGGGATACCAGGCATTTCCTGCAGGAACCAAGTAGGGATTCTGCATTTCCCCAATTGCAGATTTTGACCTACCGTATTTTCCGGCGTATAAGATGACTTTCTAAAGCATGCAAATCGGCTCTGAAGTCGGGGGTCGTCTTATACGGCGAATCGTCTTATACGCTGGAAATTATGGTAGTTTCCGGCGTATAAGACGACTTTCTAGGCATGCAAATCGGCTCTGAAGTTGGGGGTTGTCTTACACGCCGAGTCCATCTTATATGCCGGAAATTACGGTAATTACAGTAGTGTGGTAGTATGCTATTCATACCACAAACTATGATTGGGTCAAATATGCTTTTTGAATTAAAGAAGTAATATGTTGATCACCCAATTCTGCTATGAAAATATTGAGTACATTATGATCCCATTCTTAATTTCTTTTTTAGTAGCAGCTGTGAAATTCTTAAGAAGAAAGTCTGATGCAGATGCCAGGCTGACTGAAGTGGGAGGACTAATTCAGGAAAACAGTCAGAATGAGTGAACAAGCCTTTTATGCAGCTTCATTTTCCAGATATTCTTCTTACCGCATTCTGATGGGCAGGCTGTAAGGGGAAAAAACAAAACAAAACAGGGACAACTCTAATTTCTATGTTTGGATATATTATGCCATGGTTAACACAAGGTACAATTCATTAGCCCACTGAGCTTCCCACCACACTTTGTTGCTAGGAAAACATGGCCAGTTTAGGCTCAGATAAATGTGTAATCTGCAACTTGACAAACTTGCTCCAACTTCAAACCTACTATTTTTTTTAAAAAGGAAAATGATTTCTTGAAGTTCAGGATTGTGAGATACTATTACATTAAATGAAACTATCTCCATATAAATCCTTTTAAAAAGTCATTTTTTTTCAATTTACTTAGCTAGTTTCTTGAACTAAACCTACCACCACGTTAATCTGTGCATAATTCTGGATCAATATATAGATTCAGGCCCTATTTACTGCAACAATTTAAATTCATCTCAAATACTGACAGAATTGATGTTACCAGTTTTCTTATCATCTGACTCTTTTTCTATAATACCATCTATCCCATGAAAAAAGTAAGACCCTTAAATAAACTATAATAATGGATGAAAGGTATGAAATATTTAAGGACAAGGGAAGTAGGAGAGGGGACCAGCTTCTGTCTATTCATTATGATTTAAGAAGAAAATATTGCATAGAACCTAATGGCAATTCAGAAAATTCCATATGATATTACTTCTATCTATTGGGTCTCTGTGTGTAGCTTTTTGTATTGGGTCTTGGTCCTTGTAAGCTGCCTGGAGTTACCAAGAGTGAGTTGAGCGGCCCTATTTTCTTTTTTCTTTTAATGACCCTAAATCCCTTGCATCAGGGTGGAGTCAGGGCGACTGAGTGGAACTGAATGTTTAAATGACCGGATGCCCTTCCTGGTGTCTACATGGAGCTCACAGCAGATATATTCTCATTGCGCACATAGAGAGAAATATCTGCCACTACCTAGGATCCAACTCACAGCCTCCTGATTGTGAGGCAAGAGCTCCATCTCTAGGGGGTGGCCACATAAATGTTATTAAATAAAATAAAATGCCAGCAAATAACTCTAGCATGCAAATAAAAGGATGAAACATGGATACCTTCAGACAAGACTTCAACTGAATGGTTATTGTATCCTCCTGTTACAGTGTCACAGGGTTCTTTTCTTGAACTAAAAGTTTATGTTTGGCCCATAAAAAAGCAGGACAATGGAAGCTTTTATGCTTTTCACTATATAGAAGTTCTCACTTAACAACTGTTTCAGACAATGACCCTTTATAGTTATGATAGTGATGAAAAAGTAACTTCACCACCAATGCCTGCATTTATGAGCTTCACAAGTCTGTAAAGCAGAGGAAAGATGAAAAAGATAATAAGCACAGTTGGGAGTCACGTGATATCTCACTTAGTGATGCCACTGCTTAATGAACAAGTTGTCAGTCCCAACTGTGGCAGCTAAACAAGGACTACCAGTGTGTAGTGGGGTTATTTACAGCAGGCATTTACAAAAGATATACACAACACAATACTCGTGTTCACCTGGTATCAGTTTCCTTCTATGTTTCCCTCACACAGTTTTAGCCTGGAACCCCCTAATCAAGACAAAAAGATATAGTGATAGAACACTGATTGAATTTGAGTAACCCCCCCCTCCAGTTTTTCAGGAAACTTCGTTAGGTTTTTACAGGTCCCTAGGATTCCACAAAACAGAGTTTGAAAACCCCCACAGAGATTAACTAAAATGCAATTTGAAGGGGTTGACTTTTGCATAAAACTGGAAGAAACAAGTTCAGCTGAAGCTTGAAATCCCATCCTTGCTATACTGTTAGGAAGTTAGTTTTAGCTAAAATGTTTCTTGAATTTTTCAAGTTTTCTTTCCTTTTTTAAAAAATCTATTCTGAGTTTTTTAGAGATTACTTTAAGTGATATTTTGAGCTTATTGTATCACGATCATAACCAAATCTCTGCAAAGCAGAAAATGACCAAGTCATAAATATTCAAGTGTTGGGATGAGAGTGACAAGAAATCTGCTAATTAGATTCATTCCTTGGTGAAAACTCTTGACAATATACTGTCCAGCGTCCCCTTGTCAGTGTACATATGCCTAACTGATAACTTTACCCTTTTAATCATGGCACAGCACTATACTTTTGTAAATATGTAGAGGATAATTGTTGGAGTTACTGTTTTCTATGATATATCTTTTCATCACTCCAAAGCACAGCTGGCTGCCCCCACTTTTCAGTATGAAAGAAGCTCAATGGCAGATGCTCCTTCATGATGGTTGTACACCTTGGACAATGGAACAGGACATTTTCACCTCTCCCCTGCCAACTCCTATATGTTAAATAAAAATACGACACATAGAATCAGAATAAAGCTGGAAAGGATCTTCGAGGTCTTCTAGTCCAGGGCTTTTCAACCGATGGTACGCGTACCACTTGTGGTACATTAATGAGTGGCAGTTGGTATGCAGCCCTGTCTAGCCAAGTGTAGTGGGGGAGGGAAAGAGCCAGCACAGGCAAGGACTTACAATGAGAGAAAATCCTCTGGAGATGCAAAGGCCCCAGGCTCACTTCTCACCTCCATGAGAAAGGAGGAGGGGGCAGGAGAGTGAGAGAGAGAAAAAGCAGCAGCCTTGGGAAGAGGCAGAGTCAGCTGCACCGAAGGGGAAGTAGGAGGGGGAGAGGAAATAAAGCAGGCTGGCCATGAGCCGATCTACAACTGCTGTGGCAGCCACCTGTGCTGGCAGCAGCAAACAGGCAAGAAATGCAGTGGGGGAGGGGTCACCCTCCAAGAGGAATGAAAAAAGGCAGTAATGGCTGGAGGTGAGGCACGGAGGAGGGAAGAAGATGGAGAGTGGAAGGATTCTTATATGCTTTTGTGATTTTGAAGTTTTGGGATTTGTGCAATGAGGGCTTTGTGTTCTTAAGGAGTATTTGGCAATTTCTATTTGGCTGATGGCTGATGTCTCCTGTTAGCTTCTATTGCTCTGCTGATGTTAGCTGTAAATTTTGCTGCAAGGGATTTTGAAGTATTTTTCTCCTGAATAGATTTTGCCTGTAGCATTCCTTTACTTATGAATGGAGCATTTGGGGAGGTTGCCTTAGCTGGCAGCCAGTACTTAGATTTTTTTTTCTTCCTTAAGTGCGCTCCTTACTTTCCTTTCTAACCAGTAGCTAATTCTTAAAGGGGAATGTGCCTTTTTAAGCTAGTTCACTCAGCAGCTTGTCTTTTCTGTCTCTGGAAGCCTTTCCTTGTTTGATCAATATATGGAAGAGGGAAAATATGGAGGGTTTCAAATTCTTCCTTCAGAAGAGATGGGAATGAGAAAAAGGGAGGCAGGGAAGGGAGGGAGGAAAGGAAATCCCACCTTAGTACTTGGCCATCAGCAGCTCTGCCATTAACTTTGCTTGTCAAAAGGTTGCAGAAGGGGATCACATGACCCTGGGACACTGTGACCATTATAAATATGAATCAGTTGCCAAGCATCCAAATATAAATCACATGACCCTGGGCATGCTGCAATGGTCATAAGTGTGAAAAATGGTCATAAGCCATTTCAGTGCAATTGCAACTTTGAAAGGGTTTTTTTGGGTCATCAAGTTTTTGACACCTTGCTAGGTAGTACTTAAATATTGCCATATCCTAAAAGTGGTACAATCGGTAAAAAGGTTGAAAAACCCTGTTCTAGTCCAATCCCCTGCTCAAGCAGGAGACCCTATACCAGTGATGGCGAATCTTTTAGAGACCGAGTGCCCAAACTGCAACCCAAAACCCACATGCATCGTCGGGTGCCAGGTGGGTGTGGCCCATTGGCTGGGCGTGGTCCATTGGCTGGGCGTGGCTGCGATGGTAACGGCAGACTGGGTGGGACTAAAAAGTTTAATCAATCAATTCCAACTTTGCAAGATTTTTTTTTCCCGCGAGAAGTTGAAATTAACTGATTGAACTTTTTTTTTTTTTTTTGACACGACGGTGGAGACCTAAAGTGAAAAGGTTTTATAAAACCCAGCTGAAGGCCTAGGACTGGGGTGACGATGCGGGTGCCCACAGAGAGGGCTTTGAGTGCTGCCTCTGGCACCCGTGCCATAGGTTCACTACCCCTGCCCTATACTAGACAAGTAACTGTCCAGTCTCTTCTTTAAAGTCTCCAGTGATGAAGCACCCACAACTTTTGACAGCAAGCTGTTCCAGTGGTTAATTGTGCTCATTGTTATGAATTTTTTCTAAATTCCAGGTTGCATCTCTCCTTAATTAGTTTCCATTCATTATTTCTTGTCCTGCTTTGGAAAATAACTTGATTCCCTTACTAAGGCTTTATAAAGTGATACTAATATTTCACATGATTTTGATTCTTTGTCTCTGTTTATACAACCTGGCTCATGTTTAAGTGATCATCCACTCAGATTCCAAGGTCTCTCTCATAGATACTGTTTCTGAGCCAGTTTTCACCTAATCTGTACTCATACCTTTGGTTTTTCCTGCCTAGGTGCAAAATCTTGATTTCTCCACATTAAATGTCACTTTGGTGGATAGAGCCCATTGTTCAAGTCTGTCAAGATCTTTTTGGATCCTGGGGTGTTAGCTATTCCTTCTAGCTTACCAAGAAGTAGGTTGTAGTCTTCTTTGTTGAATGCTTTGCTGAGGTCTAAGTATACCACGCCCACAGCATTTCGCTGGCCCAGTAATTTAGTCACTTTGTTAAAGAATGAAATAAGATTGGTTTAGCATGATCTGTTTTTAACAAACCCATGCTGGCTTTTATTACAACTTTATTTGTTTTTAGATGTTCGCAGATCTGCTTTTTATTACCCTTTCCAGTATCTTCCCAGGTATTGATATTAGGCTGATGGGTCTGTAAGATTCCTGGGTCTGGGTTTTTTTTTTCCTTTTTTGAAGATGGAAACCATATCAACTCTTTTCCAATCCTCAGGTACTTCTCTGGTATTCCAGGATTTTTGTAAGATATGGTACAATGGATCTAAGATAACATCTGCCAATCCCTTCAGAACTCTGAGATATAATCCATCAAGTCT